GTCAAAATACCTTTTATAACGTCCCAAAAATCAGTCAGGAAAACTTCCAGAACTGAAAATGATATTTTTGACCTGTTAGGCCATCCCCATAAAATGTTTCGTTTCCCATCGCCCTCCCTCTCGTGAAGGTGGGTCGACGGTAGAGGAATGAACACTGGACCGGTATGCCATCATAACCATGGGAAGGTGAACATCCCAGTCACGCTGGTGCTCGGCGACGTATTTTGCCAGCATGTCCTGTATCGTACGGTTCATGCGCTCAACCATGCCATCACTCTGTGGGTGGTATGGCGTTGTTCTCGTTTTCTCGATACTGAAAAGGTTACACATTTCCTTAATTTTAGCAAATTCTCTTAACTTTTTCTTGAAGGAAATGTATAATTATTCTCTAAAAACTCCCACCAACTTATATTGTAAAACTAGCTGTGTTGTGTAAAGTATTCTGTAAAATGTTGTAACATTTTGCATTCCGATAGTGAAAACCATATTGCTTCTATTTTTTCTAATGTCTGTTTGCCTACGCCCTCTCTGGAAATCAGCTTTTGTTGTGTGTGGCTAGCGTAGTTATATAAATAGGTTTTTGTTTCTGTTGTGGTAAAGATCAGTCTGGAGTATTGATTGGGGCTTGAAGGGTAAATGCTCTCCTAGTGACTCTCTTCTAGTGAAATTCCATTCTGTTACCAGGGTTCACTCAGGCATGAAAAGTCCTTGAATTGTAGGGAAGTCCTTGAAAAGTCCTTAAATTCCTTTGCAAGTCCGTAAATGTTCTTCAACTTTGAATGTAGTTGCCTGAAAAGTGTTTTTGGCGCTTTTTGATTGTCCAAGACAGAATATAAATCACAGCTCAGAGAAGTTAAAGGTGATCTACATAAAGCGGTTTTTTTAATGCAATAATTAACTATCAATATAAAACAAGTGAACTGAAAAATGTTGAGAAGTTGGTGGAGCAAACAGTCCAAGCATTACAGTCCTGTTAGAATGAACTGGGAATGTGCATTTTTGTACGATGTGTGAAATGTAGGTGGTCCTTGAAAATTGAATGTGCTTCTTGAAAGATCCTCACGCTTGACAAGTCCTTAAAAAATGGTTGCAATTTCTTGTATGAATCGAACCCGTGTGACTAAAGCTCTGTAATGGAAAGCTCTCGTAATCGTTTGTTCTGAGAGCGAGGCTTATCTTCCTTTTCATGGCCTATATGCCCTTCAATATAAAAGAAACAGCTACGCGTAAAAAAATAGTCGATAGTTACTAAACAGACAATGACTTATCGCCCCTAGCGTCCAGACAGGAATGCCCTGCGCTGGCAGTAACATAAGTTTTAAATAGTTTTGTAAGCTATTATATAGTTTTTAAGCAAATTAACAACTCACTGGTAACTACTATACTTGAACTGTGAAAGTTACATCCTCGTTAGCTTTCAAGTACTCTGCTTGGCCTTTACAAATATTCCTCGTTTGACCGTGGTAAAGATTATTGCGTTTCTTCCTGACTTTTGTATGCCGATTGTTAAAAATGGTAACGATTTCTCGCTTTTATTTTGCTTTTCTAGGTTTTTCTCCAAGCAGCAGGCGTAGAATTCTCGAGGTTTTGAAATCCAAGTCAGAATTTTGTTTCAGAGGTAAAGACGTATGTTCAGATCAGACCAGATTGGAAGCCGCAGTAATAATTTTGTTGTAAATATTTCAAGCCTCTCGTGTAGATATTTGTTCCGAGATAACTCGATTTTGTAAGGAAATATTTTCCGTTATTTTGTTTGATAGTGAAAATGAATTTTAAGCCGGGTGAATACATGAGAAAGATGTTTTTTTCAGTCAGCTTCACACAGACAGCTTGGAAGAAAAAGTCCGAGTACTCCCTATAGAATCGAACCTATGACCTTTTGGTTACTAATTCAAATGCTCCTACGACTAAGCTAAAGAAGACTCGTGGGAGCTTATGCCACCAAACTCTTTTCATGTGACAAACATTCTACAGACTTCTAGGACTAGAAATGTCGATATGATGTGCTTATTTTTCTTTGTTTAGAACCAAGAACTAAGATCTGTGATAACTACAAGTTAGAAGAAGGAGAGGAATGTGATCCAGGAGGTATTGTACCGGAAGACAGTTTGTGCTGCACTAAAGACTGCAAGCTTAAGAAGGGTGCCTTATGCAGGTGACTACCAGGTTCCTTCTTCCCCTTTCTACTAGCCTCCCACATAGCCTGCGTTGCAGGCGCTTGGAAGTAGTGGGCACGAGAAAAAAAAGGGCGCTCGAGAAGGAGACACGCGACACCCCTGGCGTGTCTCCCTCGCGCGCGCCTGTTCTCTCCTTCGCCCACTACTTCCAAGCGCCTGCTACGCAGCCTCCCTCCCACAGAGATGTTCTTGGGGCTTCATGGCGCGTTCTTGCGCCATCAACTTTCGTTCAGCAAACTTAACCAACTAGATATTCTTGCTAGCCATCGGGGAAAGGACGTCCTTCTACAATGTTCAAGATGATGGTTCCAAAAACTTTCAAGTTTAACAAAAATGTTTTAGATATTCAAGAAATTTTTAATGAGATTGTAGCTCTTTAGTCCCAGCAGGTCGAAATTACACAAGTTTTCGAGTTTTGGAAGTGCTAATAACTTTATTATTCTCCTCAAAAATCGAGTGCTCTTGTTGTTTTATATTTATGGCTGACTCGCTGTGCTATAAAATAAAGTTCTCCTGTTCGTGGGACATTTTTCGACCTCTTTTTATATTTTTCGTTTTTTTAGTTCTTTCTTTTTCAATCTTTCTTCCCTGCTTTATGAACCTTTCTCGAGCATCCCTTTACTTTCCCCCTCTCTTGTCTTCGTTAAGTTCCTTCCTGTATTCAAGTTTTCTTTTTTTTCTTTTCACTCTGTGTATTTTCTAATGACTGACATAAGTTTCCATTCCCCGGGGCAATCCTTTTTACTTTGTTTGATCCTATATATCTGAAAACCCCCCCGTACGAAAACTGACCAGTAACATTAAAAGGTAAAATAAAATATAATCTCTCGACCGTTTATCTTTCTCTTCAGTGATGGCTACGACTGGCCCTGCTGTAAAAACTGTACTTATACCACCACCAAGGGCCAGAGTTGTCGCGTTGCTGACGAGACAGCTTGTCGCGCAGAGACGTTGTGTGATGGTAAAAATGCCGCCTGTCCTAATGCACCGCCCATGAGTGACGGAACACCTTGTATTGATAGGTTAGTTTTATCTGTAGATTTATCTGCGATGCTGACGCGTCAACTTGAAGCGTCGAATCATTTTGTGATAGTAACAGTCTCTCTTGTCCTGAAGCCCCACCCATGAGTGACGGAACACCTTGTGTTGATAGGTTAGTCTTGTTTCTATGGATACCTGGTGTCCAGATTGTCTGGGTTATTTTTCTTTTCTTCTGTCCATGCCTTTCCCACTACAAGGGATAGCAGCCAGTACCAGATCTCTCTCCTTTGTACCCTCGCTTCTCAAACGGGGTATCTCTAGAATTTTGTCAAGGATGCAACAAAAACGGCGACGGCAACGAAAGTGAAAATTGAATTCGCGATACCTCAAACTTTATCGCGCTTATCCTGTCTCGTTTAATTCGACAAATGTTGGCAAATGTTTTCGGAGTTTAATTCTAAAGCCTGTATCAAAGTTTAAGAAAAGAAAAGAGAAAGTAGTTTTCTTGTGTTCTTGTCCTCGAAAAAACGTGAAATTAGGCACTTTCACGTTGTAGTCGTTCAACGAGGACAAAGAAATGTACAAAAAAGCGTGATGCACGTGCAAAGTTTTTGTTTTGCTAATCGAAGGGCTTGGTCATGGAGGTGAGGTAACCCGCTTTCTGTCCATTAGTATAATCTCTCATTTTAATTTGATCATGTTTACAGATAGGTGGCGTGAGTGAGTGAGTGAGTGAGTGAAAAGTTTATTTATCCACGGTAATTTCATCAAATAAATTTACAATTAAGTATCTGTTCTACCTAAAAGCCGTGCATTAATTAATTTACATAAAGATACAGATACCGTATTTATTCGATTAACCGCCCTGGGCGCTTATTAAATTTTTGGACCTTGAGAGTGGGCGCTTATTCGAGGTGGGCGCTTATTCGAGGCAAAATGCTAATAACAAAACGCGAAGAAGTAATAAAGCAAGGTTTCTATAAAATACTCCGCAGAAAACTCCGTTCTCGGGAAAGTCTCTAATTAGAATTTATTCACTCAAGTGGGTGGGGTAAGGGTGGGCGCTTATTTGAGTTTAATTTGGAGGAGGGGGGGTGGGCGCTTATTTGAGGCTGGGCGCTTATTAACTTTTTCTGCCTTTAGGATGGGCGCTTATTCGAGGTGGGCGCTAATTCGAGGTTGGGCGCTTATTCGAATAAATACGGTATATATCTAAAACTAAACTAAGAAAAGATCGCACACAATATTAAACCTTATAATAAAACTAAAATTATGATGCTTGTGTAGATAGTGTATACGACTGACCTGATCTCAGCCTTAAATTATTTAAAAGAAGTCTCTTCCTTTAAATACCAGAAGGTGACCCGTCACATGTTACCTCACCTATCCTGAGTCCCCCACCTCCATGTAAACAGGCCCTAAACCTATTGTCACCGTCGTCTTTGCTTGAGCTCCCTAACAATTCAAAGGTACTCAAACCGTTGGACAAAATTCCCCCACCCCCACCCCCTTTAAACAACAAAAGAAAGACACCAATTCATTTCTCAAGTTATGAGCAAGTACTTATTGATTTTTCTCTGCAAACTGTTTTCGAACAAAGCAGTCGCACGAGAGGACTTCTTTTTTACCCGTTCTCTTTCAGTGAAACCTCTCAACAGATTTTTGTTTTACTTTAGTATTTTCGAGAATGGTCAAGTTTTGCTATTACATTTATACCTTCCTTTCTTGCTTTAAGCTCAGGTTTTTGATTCCATGCAGTTTGGTTTTCACTTCCCAGTGTCTGAAGTTTGAAAAATTTCGTGCCACAGCTCTTTTAATCTTTATTTTTGCTTTTTTCTAAGGGGAGAATGCCGAGGTGGCGAATGCAAAACTTTCTGCGAAGCGAGGGGTCTGCAGCCTTGTAAGTGTTCAAGTGATGAAGACGTCTGTAAAGTTTGCTGTGAAAAAGGAGGAATTTGTAGACCCTACAGAAACAACGACACTGGTGTTACGTTCGATATCAACGACGGTCGGTCTTGCCAAAGAGAAGAAGTGCAGGGATCCTGTGTGCTGGTACTGTGATTAAGGTCCACCATGTTAGTGGCTTACTAGCTGATTTGTGATTGGTTGGAGAATATCGCGCCTTTTCTCGACCGATCAGAAGTAGAACCATAACTAATGTTGACTTATTAGCGCGCGATTTTCTCCGCCCAAAGTTGAGTAACAATCCATCCTTCTCCTGAGAATGTACCCATGTTAGCTCTTTCTTTTAGGTTGGTCACTGCCTCTCTCTGTTTGTCTTAGCAAACTGGAAGGATCACGACAAATAACACCAAGCGACCGTGCAGTGCGAGGGGTTAGGGATAGACTGTAGGCTGGTCAGAGTGCTGTGTAAACATTCTGCATTTTTTTTCTTCCCAACAGCGCGCGCTCTCATTGGTAACTTCGAGGTCACATGACATCCAACCATGAAAGTGTTTCCCGCCAAAATTCTCTGAGCGGGCAACATTGCAAAATCTATGAAGTCAGAGTGTAACAGTGCACTGTTACCCGCGAATGTTGACCAACGACCGCCATTACAGCCAGGTTTGGTGAATTTCCAGCTTCGCCTCTGGAAACAGAGATTCTCGGGAAACAAAATTAACTGTTTCCCTCGAGTCTAGTCATTAAGTGTTTGATATGTAACGCATAGCAAACCTTCTCTAAGTCCCCACATTCTCACGCAGGTCGTTGTTTACCTCACCTAGGGTCGTTGCCGGAAATATGCATCTCAAGATGTTGCCGTGAGACTCTGGACAAGAAGTAATGATGTTGTCTCTGGTGTTCCTTCTGTTTCCTCCATTTACACCAAAACAGCTTCATTCATCGCTTTACTTCATATAGTTTGGTCCAGGATCTAATTATGGGTAATCATGCATCCTGGACATCAACTCAACTCGACGTCTTCGCTGGCTTTATAGCCCATGTCGTCTGTTTTGTTTCCTGGCGTGGTTAGCCTGACAAAAAAGCTAAGAGTTCCTGACGCCACCCGCGGCTGCATGGCTTTCCTGCGAAATTACGTCTGAGGAATAAATGCAGAAATTCCTTACTAATGACTGTCGCTTTTAAAAGTACTTCCCAGATCTGGGATCAATTCTTAAAAAAATGTAGCTATTGCTTGTTTTCGGACTTTAAAAAAAACTGCTACACTAATGTAAATTACATTTGTAAAAGTATTGTTTAAAAAACGAACAGGAGTGTATTATCAAGTTTAAAAACTCGAGGCGAGCCTGATAATACAAGACTGCGAGTTTTTTTGAAGTGCTTTAAAATCTCTGATACAGGTCAACTCATTTATTTAGTGCGTTAATATTTAGGTTTCTGTGGCTCCCCATCTAAAATAGCAATCTATCGGCTACAAAACAACTCTGAAATTCAGGGACCGCGGAGGGGGAGGGGCTGGTAGGGCTATAGCCCTACCACTTTTTTGCTGGGATTTATTTTCTAGGGCTCCAGTTGACATGAAAAAGTTATCGTGGAATTATTGGACTTTTCCCTAAAAGGTGGACGGTTAGAACCAGTTGTTTTCGACGAATCGTTGAGAACTATGCAGTTCTTATGGAAGAGTGGGATATTTGCTTGTCCGAACGATTATAACCCGATGTGCGTGCAAGGATAATAGGATGTAAGACCTAAATGGAACGATTTGACTTATTCTTTGGTTTGCATCTTGGAGGGCGGCTTCATTCCCACGCCGATAATCTATCTAAGGATCGTAAGGGTACTAAGGTGGCTGCTGTCAGTGGACAAGGCCTGACATTGGCATATCTAACAAAGGAGACGCTCAAAAAAATGCCCATGTGATCAAAGCTTCGACCATTTCTATGCTAATATTTCGCGCAAGAGCGAAGGCCTGCTTGGTAAACCATCACTTCCACTGAAAGCGATGCACTTCGGCCAGACTGGAGGTTGGTGCTGGTGCACCAAGCTACCCCCAAACTGCCAAAGATCACTTTAGAAGGGTCTATTATGAGGCTGTTGATCTTATCGTCAGTGCTATCTATCAGGAAAGCTTCAGCTCCTACGCCCAGATGGAGACCCTCTTGGTTAAAGCTGCTAATGGTGACGACTATGAAGCAGGGTTCAAGTTTCTTGAAGCATCATACAGAGATGATGTTGATACAGGGGCGCTACCTGGGCATGCAACTAAGTATTTTGGAAGTTATGTTATAGGAGAAGATAGCATGTTTTGACGAAATCCTGTTGGCGGTGTCAAAGTTTCTAAAACTAAGAGAAAGCCCAAACTATCTGTAAACTGCGGCGTCTGAAGACGTGACTTCTATCCAGGATGGGTGACCTAGCAGTGTTGAATTGTCACGAGCGGAGAATAGACAGTGTCTCTATAGCTACACAGGAGTTTGTTTCCTGCAATAAGAATCGCCAGAGAAGCTTCGGCACTTCGGGCAACTTCAAAAAGTAGCAACCTCAGAAGGTTTATTTAACGTATTGACTACACTGGATAGTATAACACGTGTGGACGTTTATGTTATATTTGTTGAGGTGGTAAATAAGATGGCGTGCAAATGCAAGATAAATGGCGAAACACCGACCTGAATGTTTCTTTATATTGGCCAGAGTTTTTAGCCCTACCACCTTAAAATGGTCTCCGCGGTCCCTCTGAATGTGAGATCCTCACTTATGAACTCATGTAAATCATGTTTTACAGAATCATGAGATTTTTAACTAAAGATTTCTAAGCGAATGGGGTACCTCGTACTTTACTCACATGCAGTAAACTAAAAGGCAAGGTTGGTCCGAGTTGTTTCTGCTGGGAAAGTAGTTCTGGAATTATCCGCACTAGAAAGATCGAATTCTGATGTAAAGGAAACGCCTTTAAAGCCAAGTAATGCAAAAAAGCTCAATTCTGTAATAAGCAGAAAGTTAACTAATAAATTTGCAATGTTTTTTAGATCTTTTGTTGTTTGATAGTATACTTGTCCGTCATTTATCTATTTCTCGGTCAGGGGGGCTGATTTTGGTGCATGTGATATCGATGTTCTGTGATTCATGTGGCATCTTGATATGTCTTCGGTGCTCTCGTGGAATGTAAATTAACAATTGTCCTTGTTAGCACAATTTCGATTGCGTAATTGTTACTATACGGTGTTTGGTATTAACGGTGTGATAGCATTATTGTAGTTACGGTATTGTTTGATACTTATTCGCTTTCTTAGACAAGAGCCACATCGACTATTGGAGATTAACAAGTCAACAAGTTGCCTGCACCAATCCTAGCATTGATTGCTTAACATTATTTTTAAAAATTAAATGCTGCTTGAACCTTATGTCAGTGGGATCCAGAAAAGTGCAAGCCGGCCGACTCTCGCCCCAGGGACTAAGGGTGGACCCGGTGAGGGGGAGCGCCCCAGGGACTAAGGGTGGACCCGGTGTGGGGGTGCGCCCCAGGGACTAAGGGTGGACCCGGTGAGGGGTAGCGCCCCAGGGAGACTCAACAGTTCGCCCGTCTTTTGCCAAACCATAAAACGATGATAGAAACATAGCAATTCTCACAGAGCATGTGTTGTGCTAATAGTGTATGATGTATGGCATGATGACATTTTCGTCCGTTTTCGTCCTTCCATGAGTAGCAAACGATAGGGCGGTTTTTTCTTAAATTTTCACTCTGGACAGCGTTTTTGAAAAGATGCGTCTTCTGGCGATGACAGTTTTCACTGGAGACATGTGTACAGTCGGGCAAAACAGAGAATGATGTTTCTGTTTTGAAACAAAAACGTATAGGTGTTGATGGGGTTTTAATCAATTGCTTTTATTTTACCCATAGCTCCTTTTCATTACAGAAAAAATTAGTGACTAGAACTGCATAATGCTGCATAAACATAACAACTTTCTTTAATTTTCCAGACATATTTCGACGGTACATCCGTCATGTTCAGTGTTACATATTTTGAAATCGCCGTTGAATTTAAGTCGCGCGCTATGTATAGGTAATAGAATGATTTGTAGTGATATTTGGTGTAAATACCACGAGTGATATTTCGAAATTGTTCTACGAAAGTTCACGAGCCGTTAGGCGAGTGAAATTTGAGACAATTTTGAAATATCACGAGTGGTATTTATGCCAAATATCACGTACAAATCATGCTATTATTTGTTTATACTACTACGCTCAAAGGGTTTGTAATTTTCACATGTAGGTATTTCAAATTAAGCTGAAATACCACTGCTCTAAGCCAATCAAATTGCAGAAATTTCTCATGTAGTAGTATAAGTTACGAAGTTCGTTAAATTGCTTTGTAATTTGGCGTACTGAAAAGTTTAAAATTAGTGACGGTTAGCTACTTACAGGGAGAGAGTCAGGTTTGTGTTTCACCTGCTGGTTGAGGTCAGGGTTCTCTCATTTTATGAACATAGATTCATTGAGCTTCACTTGGTATTTTTAAAATAACTCCAGAGTCCAGGATCTGGAAGTAGTCCAGTGTGCAGGATGTTCGACAAGACGAGGTGCACTGGACAAGACTCTGAACTCTGCAGATGTCTAAAAAAGTTCGAAGACCTGTTAAAGTAAGTGCTCACGCACTCGTGTGGAGAAATGTCGGCTTGTTTCACCCACATAACTAGCATTACAACTTGCAAACGAAAATTTATAAGCCACACGGGTGCGAAGACCCTCAGGGACAGCATCTTTTACATTAAAAAGATTCTTGATTTTAAAAGTAGTAGAGACAAGCCTTATATCAAGTGAAGCTCAAAGAATCGATGTATGTATATCCATAATATAATATCCATATATTGGACAAAAAAGGGTTACTTCGGAGTTCGAGTTAGAATTCTTTAAACAAACAGTAGAAACACTCATAAATTTTTGCTTCTGTTTCCCGTCCTTCCTGTCCCGTCAACGAGAACGCTTGTTGGCCAGGACAAAAGAAGTATCAATTAAAGAAAAGTAATTTTAAAATTGTTGGTTTGCGGGAATAAAGTTATGTTCTGAAGAAAATAAACAGTTGAAAGATCCCTTCGGATCGGACAACCTGTGGCACGAGTGAGCCCTCTTTTGGTCGAGGGAATGAATAAGTTCCAGTTCCTAAATCAGAAAGTAAAAATAATGATAGATTACAGTTTTGTACATCTTAACCACCCCTTCTTTCTCCCTCCTCTATGAAATTCTCTTGCCGTCCAGGACATCATAAATGGAACTCGAATATAAACACATTGTCCAACAAATATTTGTTGTAGTATTAATTAATGGACAGTCACTATCCTGCGAGAATGCTCTTCATTTTGGGGATCATTCGCGGCAGGTACGTACGTAAGGCGCGGGAGGTTAGACGATGACTTAACCACACACAGAGACACAAACATTATCAAGGAGGACTTCCTTGTTTTCTTTCTTTCTTTCTTTTTTGTTTTTAATACATATATTTTTTTAGCACAATAAGATGATTTTTAGGACACAGATGTTTCCTAGGTCACCGGGAATATAAGTTGTCGGGAATTTGTACGTTAACAATCCAACAAACAGAAAAACTCGCGGCGGTTGTAAAATGCACAGTCCTTCCCTACAGGAAGGGGTAGTGTCATAGTCAACCTGAATCGCTCTGTGATATCGTCCCTGATCCGATCGATATTTGAAAACAGCTGACTTGTTTGTTCATTTCAGTGGTATAAGCCGATTGTGACATGGCGCAAGTACACCCAACCCACCTTTTCGCGCTCTGATATATAGTTATTTAAAAGTTAAAGGTACCCAATAACTTCGATATTTGAAAAATATTGAATTGAGGGTCTGTGTTTTCGAGACACCCAGGGGGTGTGAGTTTTTCGGAGTCTGAGGTCCATGTTTTCGAGGTCTGAGTTTTCGTAACACCCACTTTTACCAAGAGTTTTTGCTGAAAACATACCATTTGTACATACTACTTAGGTTTTGACTGATCTGGCTGGAGAGTCTCTATTAAATGTGGGCCTTTTATTATCACGGGAATGGTCTAGCCTAAACTGAGATCAGACCCAATTTTAGCGGTTCTCATACATTCTCTCTAACGGCTAAAGCGAAATGAAAATTGAACCAGAAATTAGCGAATCCAGCGAGGAGGTCCGCCAAGAGTGGACAGAACTGGGAAGGACTGGGAGCCAGTTAGCGGAGTAGGGAAAAATTGCAAGATGGAGTCCTGACATAAACTTCTTCATTCTTTGCTGAATATTATCTCTAATAATGCTGGAATTAAGTTTTCTAGGAATTCACCTATTTGTTGCAGCCCTTTATAGTGTCTCCGCATCAAAAACAGGTGAGTTAAGGGTCATTATTTTTTATAATCACCGGCAGTCCTAAAACTCACAATCGGCGCGGCGGCATACATTCTTCGGTATAAGTTTAATAGTTGTCATTTTTCATAGTAGACGATTACAGTCGATCGAATGGTGATGATTTAGGAAAACAGGGTTAAACTTTATCGTTTTCGGCCCTAGGATGAAAAAACGCTTGATGGTTTTCGTTTCTTATCACTTCTAATGCCACTCTGATCCGTTCGTGACAATTCAATTCCGATATGTGCTTTTGGACTTCAACACTGCACTTGTCATGAGTTAGCAACTTCTGACAGACCGTTCTTGAAAAGGAAACTCCGTAATACAGGTTTCCTTCGAAAAAATTAGGCATTTCTGACAGGAGTTAACTATAAGGGTGGCTATAATAAAACGTGGGCTCCAGTGAGTAAATGACGTATCAATGCATGATTTATCACACATGCTAAAACGTTGAAATTCGCATCCTTTTTACTTCGATATTGGGCATAATATTTCTTTTGATTGTACTAAGGAGGTGAAGACTGCTCGGTCGTTCAAATAATATTTTTCTAGTATGAAACAATATTGTATTGGTACAGTATTTCTAATAACTTTCTTAAATGTGTTGTTCATAGTGTGATAGCTTTTACAAACCAATTAGATTAACAATTCTACTAAGTGGACATTTTCTTAGACGTTGTAATCGTTCATTTGATAAAGAATACAAACCAAAACTTATCATGATTACAATGAGTGCTTCACATTTTATCGGCTTCTTCTTGGGGTGGGGGAATGCAGGAAGACTAAGTCCCCTGAAAAAAACTTTGATATCTTCCTTGTATAACTGGGATTCAGCTGATTGAAGGGACTTTTGATGGTAGTTAAAACCTGCGTAGCTGGCAGAATTTGTGGTGTTCAACTATTAACAAAGATCACAATAGCACCCGTGGAACGAATTTCATTTGAGAAAAAAGGGGAAATCTTTTGTCACTCTAACCACAATTATTATTTGATGATGATTCAGTTACATCTGTGTAAAGAGATACAGTTTTTCATTGTATTCTTTTGTTAGTAACTTTATTACATCCACTTTGAAATTACTGGCTATCCGAGCAATCTGATTGGCTCTCAGCGGTGTGATTTATTCCTAAATCGCACCATTTTTTGCTCTAAATCGCATCTGTTCCAAATCGCGTCATTCATGTTCTAAATCACATCATTTCTGTTTTAAATTGCACCATTTTTGTTCTATATCGCATCGTTTCTGTTTGGAATACAAAATGAGATGTAAAAGCCTTTTTGTTTCGGCTTTTTAACAAACCGGCTACTTGAACAATAAAATATTAGTACTGACTAAATTCTGTGATTTCAAAATGGAAGTAATAAAGTGGTAATTGAACTTCGTGTCGTGCAATTTTGGTCTGAAATCATACTTGTGATTTCGAATTGAACTCGCGCTGCACGCTTGTTCGATTTTGAAATCCTGTGTATGATTTCAGACCAAATTGCACTCCACTCAATTCAATTACCATTATTAATCAGCAATATCATTATTCTATTTCTGCAACAGGAATAGTAGTAGTTTTACATGTGCCTAGACTGCGTGTGCTATAGTTTGCTATGGTGGTCATGTTTTCTTTCTAATTCTAACATTTCTGCAATTTTTTATGAGAAAATGCTAGATTTCATGACAAAGAAAAGCAGAATAAAAGCTATAGCATTTGCAACTCCTGTAGCTGAAGTCACTGTTCTCTTAGACTCCGTTCTGAGAAAATGCACAAATGAACAGTGGTAAGGCCCATATCCCCACTAGGAACTTAGGGGAACCACAAGAGGGACCCTCCTGGGTAGAACACACATCAGGTGGGATAGGGGGTCCACACCCTGGAGTGGATATTTCTCCAAACCTGTCTCTGAGGGCGAAGTCTTACAGTGTGGTAAAGTGCTAGTGTAGCCAGGGATTGCACATCCGTGCCATTACTTTTATTGGAAAGTGAGAAAGAAGAACCAAGAAAGGAATGTCACCTATTGACCAGTATAATATAATTTTATTGATCCATATAATCAAATAGTGTAGTTTATTAATAATCAACTTGCGGGTGGGACGGAAAAAATGCTTTAGTTTGTGAATGAATCAAAGCTCTGAAGGAATTGACCAGAAAAAGACATTTTACAGCCTATAAGGGAACACATAAATTTGCTTTTATGTGGCTGTATAAAAATAAACATTATAAATCATTTTTGTTTTTCCAGGCAAGATAGAAGGTGTGTTGACCCATTATGAAACTCTGCACACTAAAGACATTTTACATGGATACCACAAGAGAGATGCCAGCACACAAGAAAAAGTTGTTTCCTTTACCACTTTAGGAAGGTAAGTAACAATTCAAAACAATATTGTGAAATGAAGATGTTTTCAGATGTCAGTATTTCAGTTACAGAAATGTCTTCTTTCTTTAACTAGCATGTCTTTTTTCGCTTCCATCTAATCATTTATATGATAAAACAAAACATACAAGATGGATCAGAATTGAGCATATTACTTGACGTACAATCTACTGCGATTGTGATCTTTTGATCCTGAGAGAATCAGATACATGTTGGTCTGTTGGGGTGATTGATGGAAGCAAAAATGAAATGTTGAGTTTTTCACTTTAGACATACCTTGTTGTTGAATAGTGGCATTAAATGAGATGAAAATTATCACAGTGACTGAAAAACCGGCACTGCCAGCTATGTGTCTTTTAATTGCGCACACCTAAACAGCATGATCATTCTAACTAACAATAAATTACATATGTCTTCAGAATTGACTAAAATAATAAAATATTTTAATTGTAATTGTCTTTATTTGCTGTTGCAGTTTACGATAAAATTATTTATTTTGTTGTTACTGTTCTGAGTTCAAACTTACCTTTACATGTTAAAGAAAAGAAAAATTGCAAAATTTAATAAACTCCAATTCCATCTTTCCTTAAAAATCACAAAATCAAAATACCCTTGAAATATGGCTCATGATTTTTTGCAGAATATGATAATAGCAAAATTAAGTGAGAATAAGGTAGTGGTTATCATACACCCCCACCCATTTTTTCCTTATTTTGTGAGTAGCTTCTTGTGGATAAAGCTGAGTTGAGACATCATTGCAATCAGGGCTTTATTGTGTAGAAAATAAGAATCTTTCATTTATGTTTTCTTGCTCACTACAGACACTTCAAGCTTCATCTCATTCCACATGTTGAACTGTTCAGTGAAAACTTCCATGCGTACTCTGTGGGAGAAAATAATGAGAAGATAGAAATTGCAGTTGACAAAGACAGTTTTTACAAAGGTTATGATGAAGGTATAACCCTGTCTTCCTTTACTCCTGTTTGTGATTCTCAATCAAACCTCATACTGGCACAAATCTCTAACATTTCACTCTGGCACAAATCTCTAACATTTCACTCTGGCAATTCACTCTGGTGGGGGGCTCTGAAATTTTTTCGACTACCAAGGAGGGGGCTCCTAAAAAATTGAACCGCTAGCGAGGGGGGCTGCTAAAATTTCAAGCTTCGAGTTTCAATATCTTCATCCCCCCCCCCCTTGTCATATTAAATGAACTTTCCCTAATCATTAAAATCTAACTCATTCAATTTCTGCCATAGATCTAAGGGCCTAATTTTCCAGGGTGTTTAATATATTTTGTTTTTATGATTTAAAGGGGACCCTTTATCTCATGTAAGAGCTCATGTAGATGATGGAGTTCTTTCAGCTTCTATAGACACAAAAGAGGACACATATGTCATTGAGGTAAGATCTACATAATTTGGAAAAATTAGCCTAACCACACATGCATATTGTCTTTTTTCAAAAACGCACAACACTATAAGAGTAAGGCTGAGTAGTGGTGACAGAACTGAGAATTACTGAAAAACAAATGTGACCCTCAATAAATTAAGAAAATTGAGAAATGTGTTATTGGGGCCATTAACACACTACGATTTTATTGCAATCATCCAATAAGCTTCTAAAATTTCATTAAGAATAAATTCTGTAGTTTTAGTTATGGTGGTGTGACAAATGTTAGACGTATGATGTCATTTTACAGCCTGCTTGGCGTCATGTTGAGAAGTCTACAAAACAAGAGATGATTGCATACAGACATTCAGATGTCAAGTCCAATATAACTCATTCTTATGCTGATCCTAAGTAAGTTATTCTTGAAATAAAGGCATTACAGTCGACTCCTGGTAACTCAAACCCTCTATAACTCTAATCTCCTGCTAACTTGAAGCAATTTTCATTTCCCTTCAGATCATTTTCTATATAATTTTACCCTCGATAATTCAAACTTTTTTCCATTTCCCTCGAAGGTTTGAATTAACGGGAGTTGACTGTATTCCTTCTTTTGGGGACCTCTTGTAAGTTGACAACTCCCTGAAGTGCTTGTATTGAAAAATTAAAGGAACAACTCCTCTGGCGATATTCTATGAAAGTTGCTTCACTCATGGGGAAAGCCTAGCTAGGGTGGTGCAGGGGGGAGAACACTTGCCTTGCACCATTTTGACCTGGATGAGAATCATGGAAGTTCAAGTTTGAGTTTGTTATTGGTTCTCCTCCAGCTTATTCTGTACTGGAAGATGGTGTTCTTGTCTCTGCTTCAGAGAAGACATTAAAACCTTGTTATAAATTCTCACTGTATGTAGCTGGGAGCCCGCACTCCCAAACGCCCCAGTTTTGAGATAAGTTATGGGAAGAGGCTGGCGAGCCTGGAAGTAGGAAGGAGTGGGAGCTAAGTTGCAAGAGTGAGCCGTCGGTCGCTGCGGGGAGGAGTGTGGGGTTCACAGCCTTGATGCCAGGTTCTGTTTTAGCTAAGAAAGGAATAAACAGGATAAAACAGACCTACATGTATTTATACTTAATTTTGTAATATTATGCACAACTTGTTCCTCAGTGGATCTGTCAATGCACAGGAATTAAAAAGTGCTTGGGTTCCACAAGCTTAGAGGGCATTTGTGTGCCAGTGACTGTCTGCTTCCAGGGAGAATAGTGTTCTCAATTTTTAACATTGGAATTTTCTTTTATGCTGCTGTAATGACACAGAAATAAAAGTACTTCTTTTTTACTTCTCTGTAAACTTTTCAAAATCTAATGGTATATTTTTATGTTTTCTTGTAGGAAAGGGACATTTAGTTTTTGTGGCCATGACTCAAAGCATTCAACTGTGTATTACAAGAAAGATGTTGGTAATAAAGCATGTTGGTTCCTGCTTTATAAACGTTTGCAAATCCAGCAATATGATCATGTTTCCTAGTCATTTGATTTAAGGTTTAATTAGATAGTTGTATGGGATGAATCCAAGATTTAGTGAAGGGGGCATCAGATAAATGTGTGACGAAAGGCAGACCACTTTCATCTGCAATAATTGAGACCAATATTATTTTTTTGGTTTTAGCTCCAGATATGAGATCTGGAAGAAAGAGACGTGCCGCGTCAACACTGATAAGGTGTACTTTGGCTTTAGTGGCTGATTTCACGTTTTTTAAAGCAATGGGTGGAAGTGACAAGAGGCAATCAATAAATTATATGGTAAGGCAGCTAGTGTATCTAACTTTAAGTGAGTCTCTCAATGCAGTGCTTGCTGTTAACTTTTGTAATCACCGATCCAGGAGAGCTGAAGAATTACTAGTCCTGAGAAAATCTTTGTTAGCCTTTCTTGACTTCAGGATGCAGCATGGTCCCTACAGTTGGATCTAGCAAACTAGGCTTACCGATATATCCCAAAATTCATTCTAATAAAAACCATAACAAAATTCTCAAATCTGGTTGGCCATCAACTGTCCTGATTTCAACACTTTTAGGACAGTATGATAGCCTCTGGTGCCTCTGCCACCTCTTGGTATAGGATCATGTTGAACATCAAATGTCTTGACAAAGTCTCAAATGAAAGAATCTACGATCTCACCGGCACTACCCCTCTGCCATCAACAGTATTCTCATGACAGCTCAAGTTCCTTGCCCACATTTGGGTGCATGGAGAAGGATGCTAACATTTTACTTTGCATGAGCTTCCCCCCCCCCATGGGAGAAGATTCCCAGGGAGACTGCATAAGTCCTTTTCTTTTTTTGGTTTTTATTTGAAATTTTTACTGGTCAAGATGACTAGTTGATGACCATTAAGGTCAAGCGCTGAAATGGTCCATGAAATCTAAGTATGACTCATCATCATCAGTCAACCAAAGAGCAGTTATTGAAAGTCGTCTCCAGCTTGCTTGGTCTTGGGCAGTGCGCACGATGTCCTAAAAAAATTTGGGTCAATCCATTCCTGGACTTGGCTGGAAAAGGACTTGTGCAGTCTTTTCCCATGGTGGGGAGGGGGGGAAGGTAGGGGGTTGAGCTGATACAAAGTAAAATGTCAGCTGGTCCATCCTTCTCCATGCACAAAATGTGGCCATGCCATAATAGCTGAGCTGGCTAATGCCATTGAGATCTTAGACTCGGTGATTTTAGACTTTGTGAAGACATTTGATGTTCAACATGATCCTACAGCATGAGGTGGCAAAAGCATTTAGTTTCACAGCCATGTCTTTAGTGATTATCCATGTTTCAAAGTCATCCAGTAGAACGGAAAGACATGTTGCTTTAAAAACACCCAGTCTCAGGTCCAAAAGTACTGTCTGTGAATAGCAGATCTTGTCAGGGCTCCAGAGTGCAGACCATACAAGTATTGAGTATTTGAGGTTATATGACACAGTGCATTTGTATTTTTTTCTGGGTTCTATCTCTGTAAGTGACTGTTTTCTGTTTTAGATTGGTGTTGCAGACAGGGTGGACAAAATTTACCGGGATACAGAATGGTCAAGTGAATACAAAGGATATGGTTTTGAAATTACAGAAGTAAGCATGCAGAGTTTTATTTTTCACATTTTGATTGGCTATCAGTGTTCTTGCACATAATACTTACACTGTACATACAAGTATTGAAATGTTTGTCAGATGAAATAGGTGAATCTTTGTTGGCATCATTGTTTACAATGATTTTTCCTCATTAGCATACAACCTAGCTCATACAAGCCGTGGCTGCCGTATATCTGAACTATAATAATTCAAAAATTGAAATATCTGATTAACTTCAGCAATTTGTGCAATTTTCAGCTCCTTGCAAGCAACGTTGAAGGAAATATTAGCCATCGAAAACTGTGAAATTGCTGGGTAACAAAAAAGTTAGCTTAGTCAAAATGTGCCTTTACAATATTCTTTGTAAAATTTTGAGTTTTTAAAAGAGAATGTCTCTGAAACTTTTCAGTATATTTTGGGTTCAGATTTTCAGAGATGAGATAACTTACTGATAACTGAAACTGTTATGCTCTTTCAACATTCAGAGGTTTTAGTTTATTAGCTTCGTCAGATAATGATGAGCATAATGTTAATGAGGCAAAAACTGTAAACAAAGATTTGCCTATTCAATCATTATTTACACACAAATTGATGATCACAAAGCAGCTACTACAGGTAATTAACAAAAGCTAATAATTATTGATATTGAATGGTATTGACCAATCTATGGCTGATTGGTAGTCTATTTTGCTACATTGATTGATGTAGTGTGGATAATTTTGTTATTAATAACTTGAAATGTGATGTGAAAAGGACGTTTATCAGCCTTTACGTTTGTTAAGGTGACTGTTCACACTGCACCAGGACCCAATGATCACTACAATATGGACCGTCCTGGCATCTGGCCAATCAAAGAGCTTTTAAGAGTAAGTCAGAATTAATAGAATAAATATACCTTCTCGACAGTTAAGTTGTGACCATGATTTACTAGTTAATGGAAAATTATTCATTTTCTTCAGACATTCAGTAAAATAGACTGGAGCAAATACTGTTTGGCACACCTGTTTACATACCAAGACTTCGCTGATGGCGTTATTGGATTAGCTTATGTTGGTAACCCTAAACGAAATGCTGTAGGAGGAATCTGTACTGAAAGTAATTATTATTACAAGCTCTACTCATCTATTTCTTCTGTTGCTACTTCTAATTTTCCTTCTTTCATCCCAGCCCATCTGAGGCCCGTGCCTCCCCCTCATCATGCCACCTCATCCATACAATACAGTTGTGATTTTTAAAACTTGTATTTTGGAATTATATAGAACAAAAGTTTTTTAGTTACTTTTTAAGTTTTTGTATTAGTTTAGCTTTTAAATGCATTTTAATTGCTGTATTTTAGCTTTTTTAAACAATTTTTTTTAATCTTGTTGTATGTTTAACTTTTTCTGTATTTTAGTTACTGTAATTTAGGCTATTTATATATATATATATATATATATTATTTGTTATTATTATTAATTTTTTTTTCAGGGCCCTCATTGATAGCAGCATTTTATGCTGAAGAGATAACCCTGGCTAAATAACATTTATTATTATTATTATTATTATTATTATTATTATTATTATTATTATTATTATTATTATTATTAGGACAATGAAGGATGTCATGACCAAACCAGTTTGGTATATTGTAACTTGTTAGACAAGATGTTACAAATTGTCATTCAATATTTTGACCTTAATTAAGGAATTATTACTAAACTTGTAGTTATTTGTAGCTTTTCCACGATGACTCGTTATATTGTAAGAACCTAAACCCAGCGATTAAAGGTCGTAGAATAACTATAAATAACTGCAAGTTTTGTATTTCTTCATATATGAGTATAATAGTCAAAATGATTATGGTACAGCACTTTGTAACATCTTGTCTTACCAGTCTCCAAACTGGTTTCTGTAATCGAAACCTTTCTTGGACTACAACCTGTACTGAGTATTTTGAATTTTGTAACCAGAACTTACTTTCAAATTACGTGCTTTCCAGGATACTTTACAAACAACATGTGGTTGTACCTCAACACTGGATTGAGTAGCAGTATCAATTGGGGCAGAAAACTGCTCACAGAGGAAGCAGACATTGTTACTGCCCATGGTACTTGCTTTATATTGTGTATTGCACCCTGTTTCTTTATACTGTGTTTTATAAGAATATCGAAGCTGAAATTTGCGAAATTTTAAGGATTTTTTTATAAACCAGAGGCTGAGATTTTGAAAAGGATGTAGTTTGGGGTGTTGAAAATCTGTAAATACAATACTATACAATATTGTGCATTTTAATTTAACCATGTAAATTATTCCTTCTCTGAAAGGCAAAACATATCTAGACACCTGCATTTGTTACCCCAATACATTCTAACATGGAAATGTCATAAGGTACAATTTAAAAATAATACAAGAAAAATTGGCAGAAAAATAAGAATATTCAGCTTGGGTCTCAAAAACAACATTCTACCAAAAAAGTGTACATTACCATAATTATCTTATGCAGAAGATGTGCAAGAATACATAAGTAGTATGATCGTAGAGGTGATGTAGTCCTGAATAAGATTGTAGACCTCTAGAGACTGATGTTTTGACAACCCCGTGTGCAGCACTGGGCTCATCTTCATAGTCAAAGCGATGTCACTTTGCATTTAATTGTTAATATGTGTTTTACTCAGTTTATAAAACCTGCTAACAATGTTCTCTCTTTTTCCATCATTCACTTGTAACTTGAAAAAAAATGGAACTGCATTGCAATAAGAAATTGGTAAGTTGCTAGGTAATTTCCTCCTCTTTTGAAACAAGGCATTTTCTACTTTTATATACAAAGGATTGTGCGTGAAACTCTGTCTCAGGGATCAAATGAGGAAATAGCAGACATTTTGCGACACCACCACGTTTCTCCACGAAATGACGTCTGAGAAATGAGCGCAGAAATTCCATACTGATGACGCTTCACTACCCAGATCTGGGTAGTGATTCTGATTGGTTGAAACGAATTTCCCTCGCGGCACGACCAATCAGAGTCACTACCCAGATCTGGGTAATGACACGTCATCAGTATGGAATTTCGCGTGGACACCAAAGGTAGCGTCGCGAAATGTTGGCCATTTTCTGAGTCTAATCTTTTTTACGATGTTTGCCTTCTTTCAGGACACAATTTTGGCAGTGAACACGATCCGGAGACTCAGGAATGTGCACCGGCAGATAATCAGGAAGATGGAGGAAAATACATCATGTATCCTGCTTCTGTTAGTGGGCAGCTGCCCAATAACAAGGTAATGTAACTTAGGTTTTGGTTTTAGATGCAGTGCAGTTACCACTTTACAAGAGTGACCAACATCAATTTTGTCCTAATGGCATCGATACATAATCAAGAAAAAAAGTGATGAGAATTACTTAAATGATCACTAAGGGGAAATTCTTTGATCTTAATTTTAGCAAATTCTCTTAACTTCTTCTTGAAGGAAATTTGTAATTATTCTGTAAAAACGCCCACCAACTTATATTGTAAAACTAGCTGTTTTGTGTGAAGTATTCTTTAAAATTTTGTAACGTTTTGCATTCCAGTAGTGAATACCATATTGCTTCTGTTTTTTCTAATGTCTGTTTGCCTACGCCCTATCTGGAAATCAGCTTTTGTTGTGTGTGGCTAGCGTAGTTTAATAAATATGTTGTTGTTGTAAAGATCAGTCTGGAGTATTGATTGGTATGTGTTTATTTGGGGCTTGAAGGGTAAATGCTCTCCTAGTGACCACTCTGGTGAAATTCCATTCTGTTACCAGGGTTCACACGGGCATGAAAAGTCCTTGAATTGTAGGAAAGTCCTTGAAAAGTCCTTAAATTCCTTTGCAAGTCGTTGCAAGTCTTTGCAAGTCCGTAAATGTTCTTCAACCGCGAATGTAGTTGCCTGAAAAGTGTTTTTGGCGCTTTTTGATTGTCCAAGACAGAATATAAATCATAGCTCAGAAAAGTTAAAGGTGGTCTACATAAAGCATTTTTTTATGCAATAATTAACTATCAATCTAAAACAAGTGAACTGAAAAATGTTGAGAAGTTGGTGGAGCAAACAGTCCAAGCCTTGCAGTCCTGTTAGAATGAACTGGGAATGTGCATTTTTGTACGATATGTGAAATGTAGGTGGTCCTTAAAAATTGAATGTGCTTCTTGAAAGATCCTCACGCTTGACAAGTTCTTAAAAAATGGCTGCAATTTCTTGTATGAACCCGTGTGACTTAAGCTCTGTAATGGAAAGCTCTCGCAAGCGATTGTTTTGAGAGCGAGGCTTATTTTCCTTTTCTTTGCCTATATGCCCATCCGTATAAAAAAACAGCTTCTTTTATTTTGCTTTTCTAGGTTTTTTCACCATGCAGCAGGCGTAGAATTCTCGAGGTTTTGAAATCCAAGTCTGAATTTTGTTTCACAGGTAATGACATGTACTCAGATCAGACCAGATTGGAAGCGGCAGTAATAATTTTGTTGTAAATATTTCAAGCCTCTCGTGTGGATATTTGTTCCGAGATAACTCCGATTTTGTAAGCAAAATCCTTAAGGCTGTATTTTCCGTTATTTTGTTTGATAGTTATAGTGAATTTTAAGCCGGGTGAATACATGAGAAAGATGTTTTTTTCAGTCAGCTTTGACACAGACAGTTCGGAAGAAAAAATCCGAGTACTCCATACAGGAATCGAACCTAAGACCTTCTGGTTACTAATTCAAATGCTCTAGGACTAAGCTAAAGAAGACTCGTAGGAGCTTATGCCACCAAACTAGGATCATGATGTGACAAACATCCTGCACACTTCTAGGACTAGAAATGTCGATTCGTGCTTATTTTTCTTTGTTTAGAACCAAGAACTGAGATCTGTGGTAACTACAGGGTAGAAAAAGGAGAGGAATGTGATCCAGGAGGTATTGTACCGGAAGACAGTTTGTGCTGCACTAAAGACTGCAAGCTCAAGAAGGGTTTCTTATGCAGGTGACTACCAGCTTCCTCCCACAAAGTTCTTGGCGCTTCGTGGCGCGTCCTTGCGCCATCAACTTTCGATCAGCAAATTTAACCACCTAGATATTTTTTTAATGAGATTGTAGCCTCTAGCACGGAGGCGTGTGAGTTGTGAAAAGGACTTTTTCGGGGACAAGACGTCCTTCTACAATGACTTAAGATAATGTTTTCAAAATTCATAAAAATCGAGTCTTAATCTACTTTCAAGTTTAATGGGGCAAAATTTATCGTTTTAGAGAGTCAACTGAGTTTGTTCTAAGAAATTTAATGGCTTCGCCCTTTTATTAGACCGTTTCTGATCTCTCTCAGTCCCAGTCTCTCTTTAGTCCCGCGCTAAATTACTCAAGGTCGAAATTACACTTTCGAGTTTTGGAAGTGCTCTGGTTGGTCTATGTTTTTAACCTAAATTGAGTTCCCACAGCTGGAAGCACTCCTTCTCTTATATTTATGGCTGACTCGCTGTGCTATAAAATAAAGTTCTTCCTGTAAGTGTTCGTGGGACAGGAACGCGTGAGGAAGCCCTAAGCCTAACGTCTGCATGCCGGGAAGGCTACTTCCGACAAAGTTTCTTTATATTTTTCGTTTTTGTAGTTCTTTCTTTTTCAATCTTTCTTCCCTGACTTTATAAACCTTTCTCTGGCCTCCCTCTTCTTTCCCTCTCTTTTCTCTTTGCTAAGTTCCTTCCTGCATTTTCCTTTTTTTTCCCTTTCACTCTGTGTATTTTCCAATGACTGACATAAGTTTCCATCCCCCGGGATGGAAACCCCCTCGTACGAAAACTGTACCAAGGTTAAACTCACCAGTAACAGTAAGAGGTAAAATAAAGTACAATCTCTCGACCGTTTATCTTTCTCTTCAGTGATGGCTACGACTGGCCATGCTGTAAAAACTGCACTTATACAACCACCAAGAACCAGAGTTGTCGCATTGCTGACACGACAACTTGTAGCGCAGAGTCGTTTTGTGATGGTAACAAACCCACCTGTCCTGATGCACCACCCATGAGTGACGGAACACCTTGTATTGATAGGTTAGTTTTATCTGCATAGCAAGTTCGTTTCCAGATTCGCTGATATTTCGCTTTTTTGTCCATGTTTTTGCTAGCCTGTGTATAGCCGCCCCCTCTCCTCCCCTGTACACAGGCCATGCTTTTTCCACTACAAGTGTGGTGGCAAAAGAAAGAGTTAGGACGGAACGGCCATTCGTCTTCCCTTCCCCCGTCGCGCGTGTCTGGCACTCCTTGCTCGCCTGAAAAACGTGAAAAAATAACGCTTGTTCTGCATGCTAGTGTTTACTTGCCTTTATTGTACGTTTCGCAGCTTGAAACATTCTGTCATCATATATATACTTATTTATTTTGCTTTTTCCAAGGGGAGTATGCAAAGGTGGCAAATGCAAAACGTTCTGCGAAGCGAGGGGTCTGCAGCCTTGTAAGTGTTCAAGTGATGAAGACGCCTGTAAAGTTTGCTGTCAACAAGGAGATACTTGTATACCCTACAGAGACAACGTCACTGGTGTTACGTTCGATATCGCTGACGGTCGGTCTTGCCAAGGAGAAGAAGCACAGGGCACCTGTCTTGTGGTAATCTTTGATTCCATCATTATGGCGGGAAAAAAATCTCGCGCCACTTTTTTGGCCAATCAGAAGTAAAACTAGTCCATGACTTGCGTACAGACTGTATTCTGTGGTCCACAACGCATAGCAATCTTTCTCTGCATTCTATTTTTCGAAATTTGATAATTCCTATGGTCTCTGGAGTTCACGCGATACCATGTTTATCTCACTTAGGGTCGTTGTAAGAAAAATACTCAAGATTTGGTGGAGAGATTCTGGACATTTCTCACAACGCTGGACAGCAATATAGTGGCTAAGTTTATGAAAGACAACTTAGCAGGAACTGTTGTGGTGTTCTCCTTGCTAATATGGATCCCGGCAAGCTGTTACATAAATCGATTGGTAAGTAAAGTAATAAGTTTCAGGGCAAGGGAGAGAGTGTGTGTGTTCCTTATGACCCTCCCAACCCCTCCTTACCAGCTCTTGCATAAGAGCTTTTTGCAGTTAAGGTGGATTCCACTGTCGCGTAACTTTTACGTGCGCACGCAGGTAAATTTTACGCGCGTAAATAAAATGGAGGCAATGTATGCATGGTCGCGCGTAACGTTAAAGTTGAAGGTACGTGTTGTGCAGCTGGTACTTTCACAGTGGAAATATGCTTTTAGTTTACGGGCGACCCTTCATACTTTTCCTCTATACTATTTACGCACGTAAATTTTACGCGCGTACACACGTAACAAACGCGAAATTCCTGTGATTCAACTTGTATTTGCTATTTAAACTGCTTCTAAAGCAAGGTGATCTAGCACGTATGTACCATTTTTTTCAACATGGTAGAATAAGAGACATGAAGCTGAGTGTTTTGTCACGTTTTTGTTTTTGGAAATTTCTGCAGGACAACAAAAAAGACAAACAGGAAGCATTGGAAGCAGAGTGGAGAGATTCCAAGGTATTTTATACACCGTATTTAGTCGAAAGAACGCCGCGTCGACCACGATAGTGAAAACGTCACTAAAAAAAAAAAAGAATTTGCGTTCTCGCCTTTATTTAGCTTTGCTCAATTTGTCAAATGTAGGCGAATTTCTTTAATATATTTTGATTTTCTTCTTGTTTGCTGTATGCCATCTCCATTGTGGAATCCCGTCAGATATTCGAGGTTTGGCCTTCCTACCATGCTACCCGTCTGCCTGTCTTTGCGACTTAGCAGTCCGGAATATCCCTAAATTTAAGGACAGGGTCAACTGGTTACGCGACACTTTTCAACCAATGAGAAGGCGCGCTTGTGTTTATCAACAAACAAATCAAAACATCGCCCCAGTGATCAAAAATTTTCAAAACAACGGACGGAGTCGGACAGAATTAAAGATGAGCTTACAGTACTCGTCTAGGTTTTACATTTAATATTTCAAAGAAAACATTTCATGTAAGAGAATAAGAGCATTAATCATTACAAGGGAATCATTGGGGTGTTCGAACTGATTCCGGACCGATCGCAAAGGTCGTGGCTTCACTGGCATGGCTTGCAAGATTTTTGATAGAAGCAAACTGGTCCCGTGTAAAAATAGCCTTAGAGAGAGTGTGAAAATTTGTTGAGATCGTTCAAAACAGGATTGGTACTACCTATTAACTTCTACAGGACAAGAATCAAAGAACCAGTCATCATAACAAGAATAGAAAGTAGTTCAAATTTATTAATTTTTCTTGTTTGTTTTTTTGTGTTGTTTCGTGTTGACTTCACGCATCTGGTGCTTTCTTTGCTTGCTGTAGTACCTGCAATGTTTTAATTATATCCAAGATAATCAGTGCATGTTCAATGAGTAGCGAAATACATAATTTACAATTGAGATTTGCCTTCTTTCTTTGATTGTTTTTTAACGGTGGATGAACATTTGGAGAATCCAACAACATTAAATCTTTCCAGATTAGTGAATTTCAGAAACAAAGCAGTTAGTATCTACCTTGCGCTTATGTACTTCAATTTCATGCCCTCAAATTCGGCAAAGTGAGGCGAGATGTTGGACGTGAATACCCATAAGACTAATTAAGTTGTTTTGGCCTTGAAAAGAAAAAAGGCAAAGGCTCGTACTAATGCGAAAAAAGTAGTAACACGGCTCTGTGAGAAATCAGGGAGTAGAACGTACGTGTTTTGGACCTCGGAATTAAAAAATTGTCTACCAAAATTCTAGGTTGTCTATCATCTCCACATTCAACATGATAAAAGTTTATCGATATGACAATCGAGGAAAAATATCTAGAACTTCGTAAAAAATCTGTGAATCGAAAAAATAATAGATACTTGTTCACCTACCTTGAAAACCGACCAAAATCTTGCCTATACATCACGTTGTTTAAAAGATAAAAAAAGAGATAAGCCACAAAATGTGCTGAATATTTCACGAGACACTTCCAATATGGCTTCCGATACGCTGTCCACTTAAAAAAAATTGTGTATGCCTCATGAAAAGTCTTAAAAATATGCCAGAGAGCCTCGAAACGATGACTGATTCTGTCCGACTCCGTCCGCTGTTTTGAAAATTTTGATCACTGGGGCGATGTTTTGATTTGTTTGTTGATAAACACAAGCGCGCCTTCTCATTGGTTGAAAAGTGTCGCGTGACCAGTTGGCCCTGTCCTTAAATTTAGGGATATTCTGGACTGCTTAGTATTCGCGGATGCTAGCGCTGATGAATTAGCTCCAGAGCGTGGTCTAGCCGTACAAACGTGAACATCAAACCGCAAACCTGACGGCAAGGCACCGGTCACGTGACTTCTCGAAGATTTCTGGTTCGCTGGAAAAGTCAAATCCTCGATCTTAAGGTCTCTAATATATAGCTTTCTCGCGAATTGCTTCCACAGAATACCCAACTACTGCGGCAACCCAAACCTACCAGCAGGGGGAAGTACATCTACAGGCAGGACTCCATCACCAGGTCTTCGAGACCGGACAAACCCTTTAAAGTCAAGCCGAAGAATATTAAGACTCGAAACACGCCCAAACTAGAGTACACAGTACAGACGGAGAGCAACTTGTGAAGATTTTTACATGGCGGTTTTTGATGAACTTATTGTGGTCATCCCTACGGTTAATCAAGGGACTGGGATAAACTTCCTTAAAGTGCCCATCACCTAAAATTTTTTATTTTCTTATCTGAAACTATACCTTACTAAAATAACTTCTGCGAAAACATTTTGCGATTTGAACAAAAGCCGATTTTTTAACAATTTTTTGAAGTCTACATTTTTGCGGTACACCCGCGCCGCTGATCATGCAAACTAGCAAGCTCACATATGACCTCATGTGACGTAAATTAAGGAACTCGCATTACCTTGCCTTCACCAGCTGTACACAAAAAAGATAAATTTCAAGTAAGGATTGAATCACAATGTCTTCGTAAGAAGAAAGTCTTTCTGAAAAAGAAAAACCTATCAGAACTCTTAATGTTTTCCTGTGGATAAGGTCACGTGTTCCTTAAAGTACGTCATACTCCGAGAGAAGACTAAGACGAATGGTGTGTAAAATGGCGGCAAATTAGAACGTTTTCAAAAAATTGTAAAAAAATCGGGTTTTGTTCAAATCGCAAAATTTTTTCGCAGAAGTTATTTTAGTAAGGTATAGTTTCAGATAAGAAAATAAAAAATTTTAGGTGATGGGCATCGCCCTCTCCTTGGTGAGATCTTTGCGACACTCTTCTCACTGGTGTACAACTTTCCAGTGCCTTTAGTTAGTAATTAGTAACACCGCGACAAGTCCTTGCAATTCTGCTTGCAGTTTCCTAAATTAGAAGTCAAAGAAATGTATAAAGTTAAGATATTGAGAGTAAAAATTTAATGTTAAAATTATAATGTTAGCTTTGGAATCGTTTGACATCGGTAGAGCTGGGAGCTGGGAGCTGGAAAGAAATTTCATGGGAGTATATAACGCGCTTAACTCAAGCCATCTCCAGAGAATATTAAGTTACGTGCAAACGGACGGAACATTGTTGGCCAATAACTCTTAACATTGCTGGATGTTACATGTTGCGTCCGTTTTCACACTCTTTTACATGTCGTTGGGTGTTGTTGGGAGTTGCTGCATCCGCTTGCACACAACTAGACACGGACACAACAACACGCAACATTGTTGGCGCAGCAATGTTGGGAGTTGTTGCGTCCGTTTGCACTTTGTTTTAGGGTGGTTTCATCTTACGGTTACCTTGTAATTGGCATAATGAGTTATATACATCATTACATGTAGTAAGTTATTGCTGGTCAATCTGGTTGGTGCTGTGCTCATGTATAAGGGATGTATAAGAACGCTTGTGTATCACAGAATATAACCATGGCACCCTTTTTTCAGTGGAATGCAACTTATTAAAAGATAGAGGTTTTCTCAATTAAGACTCCAGACTTAAGTAATTTCGTTCCTTTATGCCTTGCATGGCAACGCTGAAGAATTGGGGGATAAAACTTTTGCGCCTCTCTTTCCGCCGATCACAAGGGAAATCAAAACTAAACCAGCCGCAATTTCGCGACACTACCACTGGTTTCTCCGCGAAATGACGTCTGAGGAATACTGATGACGTGCCACTACCCAGATCTGGGTAGTGCTTCCGATTGGCTGAAGCAAATTTTAACCAGAAACACTACCCAGATATGTCAGATATGGGCAATGACCAGTATAGAATGTCTACGCTCGTTCTTTAAACACCATTTCACGGGGCAGCCAGTGCTGGCGTCACGAAAGGTTGGCTGTTTTCTTACGCTATGACTTGGCTTCTATGCTTGCTCCTTATATTCGTTCCCTTTTTTGATTGGTTTACCAATGGAATGTCTGGGTGGCCTGTGTTGATTAGCCAAAGTAGGTAGTTGGTAACTGTGAAGAGGTACATGGAGATATAGTAAGGGAAGCAAAACTATAACGAGGTCCCATCCCCTCAGAGGGGAGGAGGCCTCTGTACACAATCAGGCGCTGACACAGGCTTTCCTTTACCTCCAGTGACACCCTGCGCGCGTTAAACTACCATATTTATTTGATTAACCGCCCTGGGCGCGTATTAAATTTTTGGACCTTGAGGGTGGGCGCTAATTCGAGGTGGGCGCTTATTCGCGGCTGGGTGCTTATTGAAATTTTACCATTTTCAGCAAGTGCAGTATGTTTTTTTTGCAACAAAACAATAAATGGTAATAACAAAACGTAGGAAGAGGGTGGGGTAAGGGTGGGTGCTTATTTGAGTTTGAGTGGGAGGGGGTGGGGTGGGGTTGGGCACTTATTCGAGGCTGGGCGCTTATTAACTTTTTCTGCCTTTAGGATGGGCGCTTATTCGAGGAGGGCGCTAATTCGTGGCTGGGCGCTTATTCGAATAAATACCGTATCTTTATTAAATTATTTCTCTTTCTGTAACTCTGGATTCGCGCAGTCCCCCTCTTCAATTTGTTCGCTTTAACGTAAGACATCTCTGCTGGCTTTTATGGGAAGCGTGTGTTGTGTAAGGAAGGCCTGACTGCACGTACTTCACATTTTGTGTATGCTTCCCGTGGCACCTTGTGATCTCTGTTCCCTCTAGCCTGCGTGGCACTCGTTTTAAAGGCGAAGGAAAAGTGGGAATTCGGAAGTCAGCCAAGCGCGGTCATTGCACGCGTGCTGAGCAAGAATGCTGTATCATGACAGACTAGAAACAATGGACAACTCCAAAAGCACAAATTAAAGTCAGCCAAAACGCTAAAAATCTTCAATGTTTACTCAAGTTTGGGCTTATAGAAGATAATGTCACAGTTTTTCAATGACCATGAAATTCAGAGTCCGGGTAGTTAGTTAATCAATTGTGGCCCTGAAAAAATTTGAAGGAAAAAAAACTACGAATTTTTAAGAAAATGCTTTTTTCGTGAGAAGGACTCTTAAACGCTGACAAACGTCAACAAATAGCGAAAACTATAATTTCTATATGTTTGCTTTGCTCGAAATCGCGCGCATTTACAAGGCCCTAAAGCGTTTTGCTGACTTGCAAGGCCCCATCTGTTATAACGATGCCCAAAATAAAGAGATGAATCTCGTAGTTTATTAGATATGATCCGTGTAAAGTTTGCTTATCATTTTCGCATAAATTATGACCTAAATTTGGAAACCGCTGAATTTCTCGAATTGGGTCTTTGCGATTTTGGTGAAACTCTGTTCAGCGCAAGGCACTAATGCGCACTATGTGTAGCCGAGAGATTTTCACGAAAAAATGCCGGCAACAGCAGATTTTCGACTCAGACCTCAAAGGGGCGTGGCATTATAACCACGTGACGTTTACTCCGATCGCCAAAAATTTTATGTTATATTGTAGATTAATCTATATGTTACCCATTCTATGTGTTAGACTTACGGTAAAAGTAAAGTTGGGGATACCAGAGAGCTTCAAAGTAGGATGGTACCCCCTCAAAAAAACTGGGTCGAGTCACCTTAAAACGTCGAATTTATCTCACTGAACTCTGTCGAATTTAACTCTCTTCGCTGTCAATATTCTCAGTAATATAATAATAATTTACTAAACTTCATTCATTAAGTTCGGCACATGTGAAATGCAACGTTTGAATCAAAAGACGAATCTAAGTTGAATCTTCGACTGTTTCAGTCGCAGATACGGCAAACGTCGCATTTAATTTAAACAGTCGAATTTAATTGATTCAAACGTCGCACTTCACATGCATTTAACTCGCGCGTTATAAGTTCGGCACATGTGAAATTCGACATTTGAACCGGGCCTTAGCTGGCAGGCAGGGCGTAAGAAGCTAGGGCGTTGAAACGAGTGGGGTCTAGTGATCTAGCTGTGATGCAAGGGTTTGGGTACTACCAAAGAGACAAAACAAGATGGCAGACATACTGGATCGTCAGGGAGATTATCCAGCGAACGTTAGTCATTATCCCGTGGTGTTCATTTGCTGCAAGCAATAGCGATGGAAAAAATTATTTTTTCTCACGTTCATTTTCTGTTTTGTTCAATTTTTCCACCGCAAACAAATATCTGTATGAAAATTTCGTGACTTGGTAAGAACATGGCCTCACAACTCAGATGATAGCACTGACATCATTTTTAGACTAATATTATTAGTTCTCTACTTCAGTTTAATATCAAGTTGTCATTCATCATCTGCTATGGCATTTATTTTTTGCTGCCCAGTTTCAAGGCCAGATGATCTGTTTTCACTATTAAAGTTTGGATTTGTTGGTGTACATCAGTATTCTTCTCTAAACACCTTATTGAGCTATCTCCAATGTTGAGAATTACAGTTAGACAGATTGTGAAAACTAGAGTCTGGGTAAATTTAAAATATAATAATATCATCATTATTTTTATCTTGTACACTAATACTACTGTGCAATGAAGAATATTAAATTATGTGAAAAAAATATAACTCACTGCCCTTGAAAAAATAACAAAGAGGTCGCAAGAACGCAAATGAGTAGCCCAGCAAATATTTTTGTTTTATAGTAACAACTTTTTGTAATGAAATGGTCACTAAAAACTACCCATCCAAGACATACTAAGGAACTTAAAAGAAACTAAACATTCACTAGTCTTTTGAAACCAGGCATTGCTATATATATATATATCTTACAGATACAACATAAAACATTATATAACATACAAATTCAAACTGAGTATATTGCAAACAAGAAAATTATACAGAAGTTTGCACAAATGAAATACAAATGGCCTGTAACAGCTATTAAACCTTTGAAAAAAACTTTTTAGTGTGACCAGCAACCCTAGCACACTTGTACATGTATACTTCATGTCTGTATGTATTCAATTTCATTGTTGGTTAAATTTATTAACTGCAGCCAGGCTTAATCAAACTTGATTCAAAAAATACTTTCCTGTTTCCTTGTAACTACAATATATAATGTTAAGAGAGAGGATATAATGCTAGAAATATTGTACAGTAGTACAATCAAAAGATGAGGCACCTCCAGGAGATGGAGTTGGTCCCTACTATTCTTTTTCGTTTACCCTCTATAAGAGACACACCTGTATCCATTAATACAGACTTTGTCCAACACCACACTTAAGCCTCTGACGACAAAAATACAATGCTACACAGTCTTGATTTATTCTACTTGCAATCAAATTAAGTCCTCTTCATGTTCTTCTTCATATTCACGGTATGATGAACTCGTTTATTTTTCAATGTGTGTTCTAGTAGTCTTTTCAGGCCGGGCACTCACTGTTGTCCTGCAAAAATCATAATAACAAACACATTCTATGATTTCATTTTACAGTGGAATCTTTGTAGGAATTTGAAAGCAAATTTCTCCATAGGCTTTATTCTGTTTCTGTGCAATACAACCTATAGATTTATACCGCAGTAAAGCA